AGCCAACCAGCGGCCATTTTACCGAGCCAAATACAGAGGCTTGGGTTGGCTCCGTTCTAGTGACGTCGGGAAGAACAAAGGCGGGCATTGCTAGGAAAGCTTTGTATTTGGCTCGGTAAAATGGCCGCGAGTGGATTCAATGACTCTGTGAGCTGATTAAGGGCATTGCGAGTCCAGATTTTACTATACACGTCCGTGCATCATCGATGCTGGTACCCCCTTTGTGCCCCAGTAAAATCCTAGCTATTCCGCTGGTGCTGGAAGGTTATGTATATCATTACCAACTGATCGAAATTGTTTAACTTGTAAGTGAAATATTTCAGTATCACGACACTTGAAATTAACCCCATTAGACGGTGCATCTCTGATTGCTGCCTTGGAGTGGTATAAGCCTTTCTCGTCCCATTTTCGGTCACGTAGTAATATGTATGTTACAAATGGTGCTCCACACAAGTATATGAGTAAAACCTATACCCAGCAAGATATTAGACGGAGGGGTACCCGCCTACGTGTCCAATCCTTATAGTCCTACACACCCTAGAGTATTGTTACCTAGCACATCCCTCCTAGATATCCGTTATGAGAATTCCTGAGATTCCGATCAAACAATGACCAACACAAAGGTGTGGGGGGGTTCTCTCCATCCCATGTCTTCCTTCATATGTATGTATATTAAAACCTGAACGCACGTTAAACGCGTCAACACCTGAAGCAGGTCTTTCTTTGAATTTTAATAAGTTCATATGCTTGATATTTTTCCGAGACCTTGGTCTTCTCCTTGCCAGGGTGGCTGCTGTCAGACTGTTAAGAAGACTAGGAAGGACGTTGGCTGTGGAGGGAAGATGTGTGGCTCTAGCTGCTCTGCAAGGGTAGTAGTAGAAACTGAACCTATTACACGGAAGAAGTCAGGCACACTGCAAAGTATTAGTTTAATACCCCAGGTGTTATCCGTGCAATACTTCAGACTAGGTGTAGTCCTATGACAACACCAAGGGTGTTAAATTGACACCAATTTAACACCGCCGTTTTTGCAGTGCGTCATTGAACACAGCTGCGCTACAATTCACTCGTCAGTAAAACCAGAAAGCATTCCTGATGAGATGATCAAGTTACAGCATTCAGCTACAACATGTGAAATCTAATCTGCCCATAATTTATTGTGATGGGTTTTAAAGCAAATCCACTCACGCTTTTAAAATGCACTCGTTTCAATAGATCCATTAAGGGTCTTCAGAAAAAAAATTACGCTACCTGACAAATACTTGTTACGGACGAATTTATTTTCCAGGCAGACCCCTTCCAAGGTGGTAGCTATTGTGGGCAGCCACACTTGCGGCCTTTGAATGCGCAAAATTTAATAGTCTAGTCATAAAGAGCGCCATGACCCCATTAAACTGGATTCATTGAAAGACATTTTCAGGTACACTCAGTGTCAAAAACCTCATGAAGACAGCGGGTTAGCTGTCTGATAAACAGGCAGGTATATTTTGCAGACGCGCACAGACGTACACATCCTAGTTTTTTTTTTCGAAAAACGGGCCCTATTCATGATCAGGCACTGTAATTCTGGAAACTTAAAACTAAAGAGAGTAGCAAATGCAAAAGCCTAAGCACTGCTAAGCCGAGTAGTTTTCGAATGTGACATGCAATCAGGGAATCGATTAATACGGTAAGTGCCATTCATTAAGCTCAGTGCAGCGTGCACGCAACTTTACTGTCCAACCCTCATCATGATCATTGAAAGTGGCACAAGTCAGGAACACCATTAGACACCTTGGCCTTCCCCAGTCTAATGGACCGTTTGTCGAGTGTATAAGGCCCATTTATGCATGTACAGCGTGGAAATATACATATCCCCCCGGCTGTTAAATTCAGAGCGGACATACTACTCTATCATTCGATAAACCGCTAAGGTGAGAAAAAACCATGACGATTTACTTTTTCAAAGATACCGCACTGAGACTGCGCGTTCCGGCCATCTTTTTTTCACACAAAATATGGTCTTTTTTAGCTCAGAAGCAAGGCGTGGATCATTAGGAGAAAAAAAAATATTTGGAGTAGATGCTGCATTTCTTTCACCATAGTGGAACAGATTCAATGCCTAAGATTAATCACTGTGCATTCTTCTCGAACCAAGGAGCTGCTAGTGAATAATCCTTAAAAACAATGCAAATGTTTTACATTTAATGTCCATTTAACTTCATATACGCCAATTATGCAAATGTACAAAGCTTGATTTGCAACGCATCATTGTCATCAAAGCGAAGTATCTTAGCAAAATGAGACAAGTGAAGTGTATTTAGCTCACATACCTGCATCGTGATTAGTTAACATTTAGAGCACCACCATTTTATCCAGCACATATCGTCATTTGCAAAATGACTTTTGCATCCATTCCATCTAGGACACAATAGCGTTGCTTCACGCTTCAAGGATTCACTTCATTGTAAAAGTCGATAACAGACCTCATGATTGAATGGGCACAGGTATCGGTGATGTAGCAACAGCATGTACGGAGGCTGATGGATGTAAAATTGATTCCATTTGGGTAATTTTTTATGCAAATTAGAATGTAATATACAGATAAATTGTCTCTTCCATTAAATGTGACGCAACCTCGTGAAACTCAACGCTTGCCAATACAACGCACAAGAAATATTTCAGTCGTTGAAGTGAATGATCCAAAATTTATTCATAATTATCACGAGTGTGGATAATTTTTGTCATGAATATAAAAGTTGCAATATTGAAACACATGTTCCATACCAGAATTAACATTTGTGTGGGTCTTTGGCCATGTAATTTGCCGTTTAATTTTTAAACCTTGACAGTCATTGACTACGTGATTTTTGAAGGTCCTCCGAATCATTCCCTCCAGGTGATGACGGTCCTCGGAATGGTTGGATCCGGGAACCAATTTAAATAACCGTGTAAATTTAAACATCACTTCAGTAATCTATAAGATTTTATGTTTGAGCAGTGTCAGAGCTTCCCAGATTTGCTTGGAGAAAAAAACATATATCCCAAATCCGTCTTTGTCGGCGTTATTTTTCGTGGCATGGCCCGCCTAAGTGTGATTTGGACAAACATTTGGCCTGGTTTCTCGGGAGATAATGACACAGATCTGTGCTTGCATTCAATGTTTAAAGAATACGACCTTTGGTTTCATTGGTCTCCTTATCTTGAACCTCAGATGAACTCCGCCAAACCGTCTTGGAGAACTGTGCAAATAGAGTTGAGATGATTTTGTTTTCAACGGTCAACGACTGGAGTGGATTTGTTGGTCAGTCATAACTGCAGCAGCGTGGTTATTCACTGAGCAATGTTAAACAATAGAAAACTGGGCACGCTCGCAAACACGGGCAAGCTTAAATCTGTTGAAATTAAAATGCAGCATCTTTTAAAAATGTGTACTTCAAAACATGGTGTTGCCGGGATTTTCAGTGTCGGGGGAGGGCGTATCAAAAGCGAACTGATAAATCACTAACAGTGGAAGGGGATTTTCAAGCAAATGGGTGATTGCACAGTATTCTATTTTATCTCCTTCCGTCTCATTTTAACTGTGTATTCTTTTTCGATTTTTTTTTTATTTTTCAAGTACCTTTGAGACTTGTTTTGTTGGTTGGTTCTAAAGATGGTGATTGTGATTATTTTAATCTGCGTTGAGAGGCTATTTGGTCAGCGATAGTGCACACAAGACCTCTACAATGGGGTATTTTCACGCTGCCTGTAAAGATTCATGTTTGTGATTGAGCATATTTTTCTCAACATCTTATTTATTTTTCGAGTGTAGATTAACTTTGGCACTCAGTTCCATAATAAGCGGACGGAAACATCCTTTAAAAAACCCTATACTTTTCCTGGTGCAACATAATGTTCGTTCTATTCAACCAGTCGGCATTGTCTTTATATACCCGTAATTTTATTGAAGTCTCTCAATCCGCACGATTGGCCGCGCCACAATATTTGATGCCCGATATGCAGCAAAGGGGACCCCCTCTATTGTGTCTTCTGTTGTGTTGACGGAATCTTCAGAATTCCTTTCAGATTTTCAGGGGGAACGGGTGAAGTAGGCACAATAGCCTTAGGGTATATAGCTTTTGCCTCACATTGGGGGGGTCCCCGTTTGCCACATATCGCGTTGGATATACTAATCATTGTACACCACAGTATACCTTCTCGTCGGTTCAGCCCGTTATTCATTTTCCCTTCCTTCTGTGTGAGAATACTCCGCATTATATTGTAGTCATTTTCCATTGTCAAGGTTGAAGCGTAATGCATGTATAGAGTATAATGCTCCATCTGTTACACCCTACCGCAGATTTGAATTGACAGGTTGCAGAAGGCTGCCCAGTGTGTAATCAGTCAGTTTGCGTTAGGCCTACGGGACGAATGACATTTTCATTTGGCGCATGTTTGATGAGTGCTACGCAAAGCTGTCTCGTCATAAGCATCGCTAATTCGACAGTAAAATTTTGATTTTGTCCCTCGAGCTATCACGTGAAGGCACAAGGGGTGCAACCATGCAGTGAGACACACGGGGTGCGTTTATTTAATATTTTAAGCTGAATGAACGCAAAGGCTTTAATCCGCGGTATGTCTACCGTTACAGACATTTGCTGTAATTATACGCCTCTGTCTATGGTATGCCTGATGGCTGATTTAGAACACATAGTCTAGATATAGACTCTATGCATTGTAGGTCGACAGGAATTTCCTGTTCTCTTACTCAGTCGGACGGCGGAAACACCACCCAAAAACACTGTTCTAGGAACACACCACCAGCAAACATAGCAGGATGCCCGGCAAATTAGCTTGAGATGATGGAAACGTTTTGTAAGATTAACTGTTTTGGGAGAACGCCACGTTTGTTGATGTTCGGTGCGCATTATACAGGCAACGTTACTTGGCGGATGAATTCTATATTCACTTTTTAGCAATGCATTGCCCTCGTGGCTTTGAATGCAAATGTTGACAAATCACATAGTAACAAGATGAAGAATGTTACTTTCAGAGGATTTTATTTTTATCCTTAGCGATTTCATGCAACCTTGTATCCATTTGGAAGCCGTACACCGAACGCGAAGTCTTCCAGTAAATCATGTCTAATTCTTAAATTTTACAGCGAAAGTTTGGTAACATTTAATGCAGTAGGTGTTGCAGGTAGATTCATCCAATCGACGGCGGCTATTATTAGCTCAGACCCGGCAGTTTGATTCTTTTCGTCACTTAAAGATCACAAAGGCGATTGTAGCTAACAACGCTATAAAATTCAGTCGAAAAGACCTCAGCATTATGATGGTTTCGTTACTAACCTCAAGGTATGTTACTAAAGATCAAAGGATGCAAGTGAATAACTCCAACTAATAAACCATATGTAAATGTTTGACATTATTCGTATTACTTATTTTGATATTTAAAAAGGAAACAGCCTTTCTTATTCTGAATGTTGATCAGCAAAAATAAGTGTAATTGTTCATTTAACCCTAAGTGTCCTCAAAATAAAAAATAATAATAAGAAATATTACTTTAACAAACACTGAATAAAAGGAGTACTTTCAGTAGGCTCTAAAAATTCGTCCCAAATAATGACCTACGCATCAATAAAAATAAAATATCATTTTGTGCAAAGAATTGAAACTAGAAATTATTTCAGACGCATCATCATGATAATCTTGAATAGAATGCGCCTTTAAAAATTTGATGTTAAATTGCACCATGTGGAGATTACCTCAATCCTCTTTTCTATAATCTAGGTCCGATTTGCCACTGTTACAGTAAACTAGGGACCATGATCGTCCGGCGGCGTCTAGTAACGTTTGTCGAACCGGAAAGCACCCAGGCTCGCTCCGCTGATTTCCTCATGATGCACCTCTATACAAGCACAAAAAGAAATGCTTATTAGACAAAGTGAAAAATAGTGTAATAATATTTTTTTTAAAAAGCAGTAAAACGCTTGAAATTTCTACAGATTTAATTGGAGACACACCAACAATGACCAATACTTGTCAGGTTCCTGTCATTTCATGAATGACGTTAGAAACAACGGCAGACGATCGAAGTGGATGCTGATACGCACTGATATTATCAAAATACCTCTCGACAAGGACTGATCTAGTTCCCTGCCCTGACAATGCCAAATGCCTTATAAAATAGGGTCAGGGGACAAATAGCGCACTGATATTGTCAAAATACCTCTCGACAAGGACTGGCCTAGTTCCCTGCCCTGACAATACCAAATGCCTTATAAAATAGGGTCAAGGAACAAGTAGCGCACAGATATTATCAAAATACCTCTCGACAAGGACTGGTCTAGTTCCTTGCCCTGACAATACCAAATGCCTTATAAAATAGGGTCAGGAGACAAATAGCGTTCGGAATAACGTATGGCATAATAACAATCAGGATTCTAACAAAAAAAAGGTAGTACCTGTTTGCAGTAAGAAAAAATAGGTAATTAAAACTTACTAAAAAGAATGATATCAGGGAAAATGGAGATTGGTGTATTATTGAACGTAAACACTGACAGAAAAGCAACAAAATTGGGTAGGAATAATATAGGAAATGTTATGAACCAGATTAACAAATGGGTGCCTGTTTCGGCCATTGTTTTGTTTTCTAAGAGAACACGCTGGGGAAAACCGATTCAATAAAGGCTATAATTGTGGCTGTGGCTCTTCCTTTCAAAGGGAAGTCGGACATTACAACAGGCCAACAACCTCGTGCCCATGGGTACAATCTTGCCGCGACATGTTGGTTCCCATCATGCCTTGCACTAGTGAAGGAATGTGCACGCAGTCCATGGAGTCGAGGTTGACAGGAAAGCTTTCATGAGGCATGGAGACTAGTCTCAGTTAAAAATTGATTTTTCCAGGGACAGTGAAGTAATGAAAAACACGCTTTCTCACCGAGTAGTCAAAATGCAGTAAATCCCCTTCAAAGTTATATTCTGAAAGTAAAAGATCGCGCAGCGAGCTTCCAGGCACTCATGCGACATGTCCGCGTATGGTGATTTTATATACGGGCGCACCATCGTGTTCCAAAATGTTTGGAAAAGTGATTTCTATTTAAACCACTCCAAGAAACATTCATGTCAGAATGTTATTCGACACAGCTTTTGTCATCAAAGGTAAGATTAAATTCAGAATCTTTCGTGAAAGAATTCATTTGAGCTTACTTTGTTACAAATTGAAAAATGCATGTTAAAGTTAAAATAAAAGTAAATATTTTCATTTGTTTTAGCTCTGCTTATTGTGAAAGACTACTTTTATAATCTCATAACATCTGCGTTGAAAACACCTAATTTTGCTGGTCTTCATGGATTTTATATTTTTGGAGGGGGGAGTTAGAGGTCATTGTGGTCAGGTAATGATTGCCATCATGGGTTAACTTTAAGGCTCCATGGGCTCCGATCTCGACTTAGGAAGGAAGCAATTTTCCTAGCAACGCAGGCTCCTTTGGTGGGATCTGCACTTCGTTGGTTCAGGAACGACTGTGAAATGCACGCCTTTCGGTAGCGCCGCTGCCAACAAAATGAATACTCCTCCCAAATCGACTCTTTTCAACCGATGAGGGCGTGTGTCTTCTCATTAAGGACTCCGCTTACCTGCACAGTTTTCCTTTTGCATTTGCTTCAGCTTCTTCTTTCCATTTCTCAAGCGCTTGCAGTTTTCATTGGCCAGTAGACATCTGTCATTAATAAATCGATTAATCGAAGAAAAGAAAAACAGGAGGCTATAGATGTCCACATTGCACAGCTAATCTGGTCTTGGTTTGACATTGTAAAACCGAGGCGGATTTAAGAAAAACTTCATCCAGGAACGTAGTCGACTTGCTTTAAAGAATGTGATGTGCGAAGTAAAAGAGCTCTTATGAGATAGTCAGCCGACCATCGTAAAACAAAAAAGAGAACAACATTTCTGTTTTTCGCAAAAACTACGGCATGCTGGGCTGACATATTTTACAGACTGATTGAAGCTGTTATAATACGTTCTTTCAAGTAAGATCATTATTTCATGATCAGGCCTACACGGTAGTCCCATTTGAGGGGTTTTATACCAATGGTGTACACTTTCTTTAACCAATGAGGGAGTGTTTCTGCTTAAGGTAGATTGAGCCCCATTGTGGTATGACAAACAGTGCAGTTTCCATTATGCGGATCGGTTTTCTTTAGAAAAGGATTTAAAGGGTCTTTTTGAAATTACATTTTGAAATTACGTATAATCTGTTTCGTTTTGCCCAACCGTTTGATCTGTGGTTTTTTTTATAAAATTCATAGCAACATCACTGATCTCCGACATCAACCGTCGTAATTAAAATCTCGCCTGCTTGACCAAGTCCACGAGACTCACGGGTTCAGATAAGTAGAGGTTGTGTTGTCCTCGGTGTCCAGAGCGCAAATTGGGCCGATCACTCTCTCTGTGCAATCGAACATCTTTGAACAAGTACACACCGGCTTGCCAGCTTCGATTATGCACTTTTCATACAAGCCACATTTTTGTTTATGCTTCACGCAGGCATCTGTGGGCGAATCAAAGCACAAATTTTCGCTATAGCTGTTCGCTTTCTATAGTATGAGAAGGGTGAATAAACCAGTCTAAGGAACACCGGCGGCGGAACTAGTTTCGAAGTGGAGGGTGGCAGTTGATAGTCAGTTATAGGGCTCGATTCATTGATCCCCATCCAATTATAGGACCTTCAAAAAGTGTGGGGGCAGGCCCCAAGTCGAAAAAGGGGGGGGGCACTGCCCCCATGGATCCCCGCTTCCACCGCCAGTGATGAGGAATATGAAGCTAACACGCGGAAAACTACTACAATATAAGCACGCGTTAACTGGATATTTATGAAGGCAAAATTTGTTATTGATGTGACTGCCGGCTTTGTTACATTTTTGTCCTGGTTTAAGCTCAATATCTGAAGTTTAATCCAACGTTTGACAGATGACAGTGACAAACTAACTTCCGTTCTGAACAATTGTTTCGGTAGCTGCAGAGGGTGACTTGCAGCCGTTTCGAGATCTGGCAGTTGCGATTTGTTTTAACTGTAGGCCTACCGTTTTTGGTTGTTACCGGTTGGGTTGAGTCAGGTTGGGTTGGGTTGATTTGGGTTGGGTTTAATAGAAAAGTTGGGTCATGTGGGCTGGGTTGGGTCGAGTTGGGTTGGGTTGAGTTGGGTCGGGCAATTGTTCGATTGGTTGGGTTTATCGGGTTGGGCTAATAGGGTCGGGTGGGCGGGGGCTGGGAATCAGTTTTGGAGTTTTGTTTGGTATGGGTTACCTACCTTCGCATTGACCAGGTTTATCTTTGTGACTCCCAGCACCGCAGGTCAATCCACTCACGCAGTCTTCATCTCTGTCGCAATCCTCGCCCTTCAACGAACCACACAAGCAATGACAGCCGCCGAGGTCATCCCGTCGCGTCAAGGAGCGCTCAGATTGTCCCTGCGGCGCTTGGCAATTGCACTGATCAATCTGAAGCACACAAAAGACAGGAGTTGGGTTACAGTTCCCTTTAAAAAAAAACATAGTGACGGCTTGAAGAACAGGCTAAATCGTAGTTTAAATTGATTGAAACACTGAGACTGTTTACCCATTCTGGCAAATCTGAAGGGCTGAGGTCTAAACACATTTGCGCACAGACTCTGTGCTTTTAACGCAAGCTGAAAACATTTCTGCTTAGCGAGGCTCACAGATTAAATTTCTTCTTTAATTCATTAATACTGCCGTGTGAATTTCACGTCATTTCTTTCATAATAACTTTTATATGTGACGTTTAATAAATGCAATGTATCTATTTGTGCTCGTATATGAGTAGTTTTACCGATTGTTTTATGATTCAAAGACTTCAATCTGTTTCTACTGTTGATCTGTTTTAATGAAAATGACCAGCTGTGGGTTATTGTAATTTTAACAAATAACATAATTATCATTTATAAATATTGAAATTATTAAATTTAAGGTCAACTTTGGTATAACAAAGGGCACCATTCCATTCAACATATAATTAACAATAAAAACAGATTCGATAATCAAGGTTAAAATGGCTTCCCTTCCATACTTTCAACACAGACACGGGCAACCCAGCCAAACGTTGTGATACGCCATGCTGGCCTGTAAGCAATCGATGAAGATATAATGTCACATTCACGTAACCGTTTTCCCTTTAAGAAGAAACACCAATTAAGGCGGTCAAATTTGAGCGATGTTTTCCAACAGCGAACTGACAAAAACGGCGAAAAACACCTGGAACGGGGCATTTTCCCCACTTTTCTTTCCTTTACCTAGATTTCGACACTGGCCAGCTCGACGGACATCTTAATCTCGCTTCGTTTGTGCCCACGGCCTTGTAGGCTATGGTGCCCTTAATAAAGCTCTAACTTAATCATGGTATCTGCCATGTTTTATCATGATTTGTTTCGCAAAATTATGTTATGAAAGCGTCGTTCAAGAACAGCGGCGGGCATGCAGTCGCATCGGATGCGCGAACGTACCTGTTTTACATACAAAGTGTGGACATTCGTTTGTTCTCCTGTGGTTAAGGAAACTTGAGGAAAAAGCTCCTTTTTTTCCAACTAGGATAACTCATTTGAGCTGGATCTTTGATTGTGATTTCCTGGACTGTTCCCCTTCATTGTGTTATAGATAACCCTAACCCCAAAATGCCTCTTAAACTGTTTTCCAGAGGGGGAAACGTGTGGGCGTGTGCAAGTCCACACTGCCATCGCACCCTACATTATGTGGACTTCTTTTGCGCAGAGGTCCACACTATGTATGACGCGGCTGCACAGCTTACCTCACACATTTCAATTGTTATCTCCATATTGTAACTGGCCTCCACTGTAGCCACTAGGCCAGCAAACAACAGGGCAAGCACTCTCATCTTCGCCAGACACAGGGTGATTCTTTCGGTGAGACAGACGGCACCAGACGGGATGGGCAAAGGAGGAACTTTGCGTTTTGGGAGGAAGTCGAGTTGTGAATCGCCGAATATCGCCGGTCTGACGAGACCGAGGGCGTTTTTTGGTTCGGCTGCGCTGACGTGTTTAAATCTGATGGGACCGTCTGGCGTGCACGCACTTAAGAGCAAAAGCGGATCACTGGGGACGGTCTTGGAATTGCCGCATATCTCCCACTATTAACCCCTGAGCCGAACCCAAGTCTACCTGAAAATGCGCGCTCTGACCCTGACAGTCGCAGTCCAAACGGTTTTTTTTTTCTAAATGGCCATGTTGAAGGGCACTGACGACATTTTGGTTGTTTGGACTTCATTTGGTTAAAATAAAGTCAGATCTACCCTTTGAAGTCAAGCATTGTTTGGTAGATCCCTGAAATATGAATACCTGTGATTTTAGAATTTTTGTTCAAACTCCAAATGACCCTGAGGCATTAAGTCAATTTAAGTTTCACTGACAGATGTCCCGGGATTTTTCCGAAATCAATACTGGAATTATTTTTAATTGAATCACGACGGATGGTTGTTGCCGTGGTAACAGTTATCGACCGTTCAATATCGTCGTCTGAAATTAACATTCTGATGGTAACACAGTGTGGAGTTTAATGTCAAAGCCTTTTATAACAATACCAAATGGCAGAGCAGGGACCCAACCGCCCCCCCCCGGTAAGGGGCCAAGTTTTGTTCTTGAAGTGTGAAAATCCAATTTTTACGAGCATAGCTCTTATAGTCTTTACAGATGTAGGCAGAAATCCTAGAAAGTAAGTCTTACACCCCACGATGGTCATAAAAGGTTACATGCAGATATTCCATACTTTTGCCCCCCAATAAAAAATTAGTTCTGGTTCCGGAGCTGGCATTCGGCTGAACAAGCTGTTAGACAAACCCATCTCCTGGTCATTCCAGAGATGTGAAATTGCCGCTTTTGCAGTCAGGCCAAATAAACCCGATAGTGTATATGCTAATGGTCCTAACTCATACGGTTTACAAAAGTAACAAACACCATCCAAAACTGACAAACAAAAACAGGTAAAAAATGTAAATTCTGTATCAACTCCAAATGGTCACCCTGTCCCCTTGACCATCGAATAACCGAATACGACATGGCTTACTTGAGTTTCCTCTACTCGATTCGTGAGGAGGAAAACGAGGCGGAACCCTCAAAACTCAGCAAAAACAAACAAAACGGATGTTCTAATATATCGAATAATAATTGTACTGTTCCATATCCATGTACATACAAAAAACCCACAATCCCCACGTTATACAAATTGAAATGAGACAACGCCTTCCCCCTAGGACAGATAAGATGTATGTTTTTTAATAGAAAAATCGTTGTCCCACCAAGAGGGTGAATGCATTTGGGGAAAATCAAAACGAATTCAAACATCACTCAGAAAAGGATGAAAGTCAACGGTCCAGGTTTTATTTACAAAATTATACATACACGCAACAGCTGTGCTGACTTGAAGGGAAGCAGTCAATTCACTTGTTTTGGGAAAGAAGAGTCAATCGATAACGCACGTCGGCGTTGACCGCATAATCGTGGAGTAAAGAATTGGGAACTGCATAATCGGTGAAATTCGTTCTCTGTTCTGATTACGTTTTAGACAGATAGGGGCCTAAGTGACTGGAGGGTGCCTGCCATTTCCCTGTTCCCGAGATTTGACGGTAATTCCCACTGACGGTGCATTACAGGAATTCTTGCATCGTATTCAGGGGGGTGACGTGCGGCACAAAACGGGGCGTGGTGGGGTGACAAAATGTCTAAAAGTGCAATTTTATTTACAGTACATGTATTAACAGCTTTTGGTCTGTCATGCAAGGTCACGTGAGCGGTCACGTGCTTCGTGAAATCCTTCTACTTGCACAGGACCCGATACATGTATATGGGAGTGGTGTCATATGACTGGAACAACATCGCAACACAAGACGCTCAGCATGGAAACCCCCGCCCGGAAAAAATTGCAAGTTCCCTTTCAATCCCCCTCCCAAACTTCCTTTCCATAACAACAAGAGAAAAATTCAGAGCCATACCGTACTTTTTACATGGAAAAATGACCAAAGCAGTTTTCGTCAGAATTCGGCCAAGACATTCACTCACAGGCCTAACATGTACTTCAGAGCTGTAGCCGAGTTCATTCACTTTTCGAGTATTTTGTTCAGCACTAAAATATTGAGCTGTTAGACACGATGAAAGTGACACAAATACTATCTTTAAGAAGCGAAAAAATCAATACATGTATTAAAAAATGAAAACCCAATACTTTGGATGCTCAAGGGTACTTTCAAACTTCTCGGGGCTGAGGCACTCAAAAAGTACTCGAAAAATAAGAACAAGAGCAGATCCCTATCTAAATTTGTACAGGGGGTTGCCTGATGGGCGGGAAACATTAACGACCACTATGTGAAATTTGGTACAAACAATGGAAAGTGCTATAAAAATGTAATTACGGACCCCCAGCTCGGACGTAACACCAGCGCTTCAAAGTCCTCCAACTACTCTCATACAAAACGTCACCAACACCATGAGGTAACACAAATCTGTGAGATGTGTGCGCGCTTCAACGTGTATTTTATAAAATGTGATATTTTCGTTTTCACGAAGAAGCACTAATGTCTTGCGTCACGTGGTCCGTGATTTGCCGTATTCAGAAATTGACGTTCTCCTTAATTTACACAGATACGAGTTTTCAGAGCATTTTTGTTTCCCGTTAAGTCACCCATTTACGGGTAAAATAAAATCATTTTAGACATTTCAAGTTTTTTTTTCTATGCAATACTGACAAAACACACATTTGTGCTTCTTCGTGAAACGAGATTGTTCGATAATGCAGAAGTGTATAATATGCGCGCGCACACATTTGTGTCACTTCGTGACACCAAAACTGCTCTCATCACGCTTTTCACGAACTGGCACAAAAGTGAACATGTGTGTCAGTTCGTGGTGTTGGTGACGAAAATTATAATACAACGTCAGTCCTCCCGAGTCCACAATTATTTCTTCCGTAAAAGGGTGAAGGTCCGGGTGATCACTGCCTCAATCCCTCAACATCCTCCGGCAATTTCTGTGTTTACGCTGGGACAAAGTGAACGATATCCAGGAACAGTATGTATGCTTCAAAGTATGAACCGGGCCTAAATATGGCCCTGGCTTGAGTGTAAACAATATATAAAGTTTGACCCAAAACCTTGACAAAAAAACAACCTCCAAGATCAGCTGCATGTTTGCTCAATGATTCAAAATGCTCTACTTGAGATTTTGGAAGATTCGGGAAGGTTAGGTTTAACAAGATTGCTAGTTTCTTTTAGGGAAGCATTTTGCTGTCTGTCCATGCGCCCCTCGCTGAACCAAGCAGGGCACATTCGCCAAGCAACAGAGGCTCCTATGATGGGAACCACACTTTGGTGGTTCACAAATGACGATAAAATGCACTTGTTATGGTTGGGTCAATATCAACAAAACAAATACTCCCAACTGACAAATGGCTCTTTCCAAGCGATGAAGGGGTGCTGTTGATATGCTCAAGGCAGATAGAGTATGGTAGGGCGACGCCATTTTGACGCAGGAAGCATTAAGCGAACGAATGGAATAGGCGCGCATGTCAGTTCACACCCTGATTCTTGCACTTTCCTTTTACATGCATAATTGAGCGTGGGACACTTTCAATTCGGTACTCCATTATATCTGGTACTCGCAGAGTACTCGACTACAACGCCATGTCGGATCAGACGAGCGTGTGCATCTACTTCTTGTGGGAGGTTGCCTGGGAGGGCGGTTGGTTCTGCTGTTGCTGCTGCTGCTGTTGTTGCTGCTCGCTGTCCAGCGTCTTCAGCAGGCGGAACAAGCCCGCTGCCTCCCGGATGTGGCTGAACTCGATGCAGAAAGCCTGCATCTCGATGGACAAGTCCTGGGTGGAAAAAAAAGGAAAGACCACTGCTGAAGGGAGGCAAAAACAAATTTTCACAGGCAGTTTTTGCTTGTTCTAAATCTCTTTAAAGCATTCTTTTACACTGGTGAACGAGTTTTCACATTTGCTTCCAAATTCTGACGGCAGTAGAAATACGGCCTCGAATAGCACCAAGAGGTATTAATTTGTAAAATTTTCTAGGAAAAAGAACAGGCAGTTTTTAACACTTGGCTTGAGAGGAACGGGGAACGGATGAAACCATGGCCGAATGGACATAATACCTGTGATCAACCCACAGCCTGAAACACTCTCTCCTTGCAGACGTGTATCAAACCAGGAAGGTGGGGGCAAAGTAAGGCACAATGAGCCCCAACCGGGACCAAGAGAGGGCACAACTCTCCCAGCGACAGAGGCTCCTTTGATGGGGACTGCACCCTGCTGCTTCACAAACGACTATGAAATGGGTAGGATGTGTATGCATTGCTACCAACAAGATGAACACTTCTCACTAGCGTGGCACTTTTGAACCAGTGAGGGGGTGCTTCTGCTCAAGGCAGATAAATTACTTAATCTGCATCGCCATGGACACATGCTCTTATTAAAGTTAACAATGAGGCACCAATTTTATTTCATCAAAAGCAAAAAGTAGCAGGGCTTTAGTAACACAATGCCTTGTGTTCATGGTACATGTATAATCACAGATGCAGTTAAGCCATTCCTATTGGTCAAGAGCCTGTCACGTGACCGGTCTTAAATGGCTCAATAAAGCACTGAATGGTTTAAAAGACACTCATCTGGCGTTATATGAAATTAACACTGCTATGAAATCTGGTCCCTTTTCCCTTGTATTGACTTAACGTTCACAGTCCTCACTTGTGTTCACAGTCCTCACTTGTGTTCACAGTCCTCACTTGTGTTCACAGTCCTCACTTGTGTTTACAGTCCTCACTTGTGTTCACAGTTTTCACTTGTGTTCACAGTCCTCACTTGTGTTCACAGTCCTCACTTGTGTTTACAGTCCTCACTTGTGCTCTATCAATACGTCAGCATTTTGAGAGTCCCACAGTCACATTGCAATGGCTCAACGTGTTCTCCGCCACCCATGCAGTACGCTCAATGTAGCAATCTCCATATAAGGAGATTGTTTTCGACTACTCCCGGGGGGAAGAAACCATGATATCGCTAGAGGGGTGTTTGAAAACAACTGAACTTGTTTCAACTTTCTGACTTGCCTTTGCCTCTGGTGTAATCAGTGTCCATTCTGCCACCTTGAAGAATGTTAGACCAGCCAACAAGCCCATATTTATTTCCTTACTAAAGCATGGCCATGCACGTATTCACGTGCATGTCGCACAGACTGCCAACTAGTGATTTAGGATATTTGCAGGATGCTTGTGTGAGTGTAAGGTATTTGGCAACAGTGTCAAAGTTGTCACCGGAGAGGAGACACTTTGGCACAGACTGGAGAGTCAGTGTTGTAGCTGAGACCATCAAATGACCATTCACAAGACTATACGTGAGACTAGGCACAAGATCAAATGCAAGAGACAGGGTTAGACAAGGGAATGCTTTCATTACAAATTATTTGAATAACGTGAAACTTGAATTCAATTTGGAGGTCTGGTGTTGGTCCTGTGATGGTCATGGGGGGTCTTGTGATGGTCTTAAAGGGTCTTGAGAACACCACCGTGGATAATCTTGGAAAACTGGATTCCAGGAGTTGACTGTTGGACGTACCTTGACGTTGATGATCTTGTTTCGGATGAGAGACTGGAGAAATACACAAACCTGCAAAATCACATGAATACCAGAAGTAATGTTTGGTAATCAGGCCAGTCGTGTCTTTAAGAATATTTCTCACTCTCTACCACGGAGGCTCCAATACGAAAATAATCCCTCCGGGTTACTGAACTGTAACTGATAACGTTCGTCACAACTTTCCCTGTCAAAATACAAAACCTGAAACTGGAGAGTTCAAAGTCATTCTTTCTATAAAGGGCATAACTTTACATTTAACAAGATCATTCGCCCTCTCGACCCTCTACAGTCAAACCTCGTTAATAAGAGTACCATTCATACAAAATTGTGCTCATAACAGGGAAGTTTTTAGGGGCCTAATCCTTTCCTTGTCATTATTTTCATTCCTGACAATACAAGGTTCCTGTTGTAACAAGGTAATTTGCCAAGTCTGGAGGAGCTCTTTATGAACAAGGTTTGACTGTACTTGGAAAGGCTTATGACTCATAACACCTTCGCTCGGAGCAGGTCACATCCTCTTCAGGAAATCCCCAACTGACCATTCTCAACCCCAGGTCTATCCCAATATCCCAGGTCTATCTTTACCAATCTGACCAGCCTGTTCTGCATGTACTTGTCCTTGATGGTCTCGCACGTTGTGATGCAGTTGGAGATGTAGAGGTGGACAAACTCCTGCGGCAACTCAACAGCCTGGCAAAAATGAGCCCAATCGAAAGCAGAACACAACATGTAAAAAACCTGTCGCAGGCTGGATTGGGGAGAATTCCGAACGGTTGTTTGCCCACAAGAAGACAAGAGGGTTCACGCTTAAAGAACAGGTGGGGGGGGGACGGAGCGTACCCCATGCATTTTCTCTGTTATCAACACAACACATTTCTGGGAAGCTTTTTTCGCTAACATCTTATGGTAATTTTAACATCACCTTTATGAAAATTGAACAAACTGTTTTCACAAAACGTCCATCGTTCCACGATAAATAGACCAAAAAAAGTTTAACTTCACTTTTCCCACCGAAAAGTGCCCAATGCATAGACAATTATTGCTGAGTCTATTCGACCAATGAAATATCTATATATTCAAAATTAAATTTCATCAAATTTTTGGTTGAAAACAAAATATGTTTATACCAAGGGTGCAAAAAGAAAAAAACATGAAGAAAACGAATATTTTGCCTTTAAAGTTTGGCATACACTTTGAACCTACTTTAATAAATACTCCTAACCCCTTGAAACATGCTTTCATAATGCAAAATTTCACACCGTTGTTGAATTTTTCCCTTTTATTTTACTGCTTTGAATATAAGATTTTGAAAATAATGTTTGAAAATCGATCCAATACCCGAGTATTTAAATAAATACGGCAGGGCTAGTTCAGACCAACAAAAGCCACTGTTCATCTGAATTGAAATGCTTATCACAATTCCTGACGCATTATTGCATCACACGGCAAAGTTGGTCAGATGCCAAAAATAACCCTCTGGAAAGTGAACGGCAAACAACACTCTCCTCTGGCAGTGAACAATGACAAATGCTGAAGCACTCAATTTTCAACAGGTGTTGAAAACAAAATTTCGCCATGTCAGCTGGATTCAGCAATATGCCGACATATATACAGTGCTATTTTTAAACCTACTGCACATAGCAACCGCACCTACATGTACGGAAGCAGCCACGTTTATCAATTTTTATTTTTGTTTAAAACATTAAACCTATCCCGAATGATCTTTTGTTCAACATGTCTCTTTCAGCATCATAGCTGGGAGGGTTGCAACCCCATAAAAATCCCCGCCTTTCTCACTGGCAGTTTGGAAAACGAAGATTTAAAAGAAAACACTGGGAATTGCACCCAAGTCCCCTTGAGGGTTAGGGTCAAAGTCCTTACCGTTGTGAGTCGGTTGACCACTTCCATGGAGTGGAGTGACATGTCCATGTTGACCAACACAGAGAAGTATTCTGTGATCTGGTTGGACTGCATCAGTCTCAGAAGAACCTCAATGGCAACGATAGGATTGTGTTCCACCAGACCAGGAAGCTGAATAGAAAAGGGAAATAAAGTTACAACATGTACTTAAACCCTAACACACCTCAGTCCTCCAACAGGTGAAGGATTGAGGAGTGTTAGGTTTAAGGGGAGGAAATGGAAGTGTTCAAGTACATAATACTGATAAAAGGGCTGCACGTTTTGTATTGTTTTTGGAAATAACTTTCTGTTCCTTTCTTGACCACGGTTTGGTTTAATGGCACATCAAAAAATGTTGTCCATGACAATTCTTTTCCCTATTTTCACCAATATCATGGTACTCCACATTAAGCAATTGCTGCCGGGTGCCTTTGGAAATGCAGTGTCTAATGACGGGCAATTTTTCAATATCTTTGGTTTTCAAAAAACTTCAAAAATTCATATCTTTTTTTCCTGAACGCCTAAACCCCATCGAGTGACTGCCTGGTGGCCACTCTAATCTGACAGACAAAATCTATTGCCGCCCGAGTATTTCAGCCAGGCCTGCCGCCTTGTAAAGAGGGCCCAGATTGTGCAGTGTTATGTAATTTTCTTTTGTTCCCGAAACTGGCACAGTGCGCTGCTGGCCTCTTTTTAATAGGGGCCAGATTAGCGCGCAGCGGTATTGTATCTCTCATTAGTGGAGCACTGGAACGCTTTTGTCCCCCGCGGTAATCCGCTCACTCTGAATGCCACAAACAGTGGTATAATCTCTCAAAACAATGACATATTTCCTCCACTATTGACAACTGAAAAATGTTGGCAATTGCCAGAAGCCCGGTCTTTTGTTCCAAGAACGGTCTTTTGTAACAAGGCCCAGCTCTTTGGTCCGATTTCGGGCACCCCGGCTATGTATACAAACCCAAGATATCCATTATCCCACTTGGAAAAGTGGGGGGACATGTCTTCCCTTTCCTCTGCCGATTGACGCCCATGTTTGTATCACCCATGGACCCTTCTTGTCACCAATGCACCCTTAACCCTCTTTGTCTGCACCCTTGTTACCAACCTTGAGGGGTGTCAGCCCGATGTGGTAGACCAGTTTGGGATCTTTCTCCAGCTCACTGAGCAACTGTTGCTGCTGGGGAAGCAACAGCGTCTCTTTAAAGGCCTTGGTCATCAGTCGCTTGACTTCGATCCCCGCGCTATTGTTGACGCACATGGTGTGATCCCAGGCGAGGTTATGATCCCCCGTAACTGGGTTCATCCACACCAACTGATAAACATCAATAATGTTACTGGTAATAACTTGAAAATTAATTTGCTAAGTTCTAAAACTGTGGTACGTGCTCATGATAGGACTTGTAATATCTATTCATAAATACCTGAGACAGGTTTTCTATTCCTATTGGTGGAGATGCGTCATGTGACTGAGTATTAACATATGATAATGCCCGCTGAGAAGCGATAATGCACGACAGTTTAATCGGGTCTGATTGGTCAAGAGTCTGTGTGCACGCGACGCACGCCCCAAGTTCATTGAAATGGATTTTATTAGACAAATTTCAAAAGGAATATACCATAAAATGGACGGGGGTGTTCAGGAAAATGAAAGTAAATTTTCAGAACAAAATCGTAGAAAATCCATCATACAGGTATGTTGACTTCTTTTGACTCTCTGAATAAACAGAATTGGAATAAGTAAGTGCTTGGCCAGTCTTAAACTAACCTTTTTCAGGAGAATGAATGCTGATAATGCCCTCGCATGCGGCTTAGGTATTAGTCCCTTCCATTCTCCTGAGCCAGTCTTAAACACACATTTAAGACCGGCCAAACACATAATTATTCCCTTATTGGAGCTACTTGTTAGGCACTTGCAACATACTCTATTGCAACACTTAGCACTTGTATTAAAAGTATTACAACTAGTGACAAATGCTGGTAAAGTACTTGAGAAGTACTCAACTGTAACAATGACTACATTTACTTGAAAATAGTCACTCAAGAATGGGCATCTTGTGACAAAAAAAATACTTGGGAAGTTAGGTGTACATTTTAGACACTAAGAACAAACTAAGTACTTGACAAGAACTTGTACCATTTGTCACATTTAATGACAAATACTTATAAAGTGCATGAGACGTACTTAACTCCAAATGTATTTGAAAACTGTTTGCGCAGGTAATAGTGAAAAGTACTAAAACTAACCGGGAATATGAAAAGTGCACGTGCCTGTCTTTGTGAGAGATGGAAGAAATGCTTGTCAAGTGCTAACAAAATACTCGACTGTAACATCTTAGGGCCAAGAGGGAAGGTACTTTACCTCATCCTCGCAGACATGTAGTGGCGGGGGTAACCTGATCAATTCTGGTCGGAAGCTGGCTTCCATGGGCGGCTTGTTGCCGCACATAAGACTCTCCATCACGCTGGACGCCATCTCCGCATCGTAGGTAGACCTGGAGGAGGGAAGCACAGATGCATGCACCTCAGTCCTGTACATGTGCCGTTGTGGTCGAGACCATCACAAGACCCAACAACAGAGGGGAGACAGGCCGGTGTAGGGGTTCTCTCCTTGCCTTCCACCTCTGCAGTCCGGGCTCGAATCCCAGCTCGGTCCACATATGGATTGGGTTTTCTGCCCCTATCTGATTCCGTGGGTTTTACCCAGGCTACTCCTCTGGGGTTTTCCTCCCACCTCTAAAGCTGTAACTGCTTCTCGTTGTGTCTTCTCAACAGGTTTCTTCGGGCTTGCGAGCTACAGTGCCTAGGGTGCTTTTGAGGAATCCTGATTGTCATTGCCATCAATAAATAATAACAACACACGTCATTACGACCACAACAAGACCAACACAAAACCTGAAGCTTGAATTCAAGTCCCGAGCTATTCAAATGAACTCCAACAAAAGTATTCCTGTGTCATTGTTCACCCCTGTTCCTTGTGACGGGTCTTATGAAGGGTCTTGAGCACGGCCTGGTGTCTGGTCTTGTGATAGCCTTTACTACATGTACAACAGTGACTCTGGGGCTTCCTTCAAGCACTTTAGACACAAAAGCCTAACTCTTTAGATCCTCAGTACACATGACATATGCAGTCGTTATACGACCCCGCCTCTTTATGTTAGGATGCATTCCATCATTCTCTTTGATTTATCACACCAGCAGCGATGATATTGGTAAAATGGGAGACGACTGGTAATTCACAATTTCTGAAGTATGAAAGCTGGTCCTCGAACATAACCTGTGAAAAAGTATGACCACTTCCCAGACGCACAATGAGCACGTTGCTTATGTAAGCCAGCTATGGTGGCACCAGTGAAATGGGGACGGTGGGAGGTAAATAAACACATCATGAGACGCTTTGTCAATATTCAGGTTCAGGGCTTTTATTGGGGGGCCTCTTGATTTGACCTAATTTTTGTTGGGTCGGGACGGATTTGGGGACCTCAGATTGGTTTCAGGTCAGATTCGGTTTTTAGTAAATGTTTTGGGTTACCTGCCCCGGAGGACAGTATTACTACATACCCGACATCTGGATCGGGATCGCTCATGATGCAGGACAGGCCAGCCCGGCTCTGTAGAGGCAACTCAGACTGCCGCTCGGCCAAGGCAACCTGGAGGCCACTCAGGTCGATGGGTGGTGGATTGGATCCCGGGTCCATCACGACGATCTGCCGAGGGACTTTCTTAAAGAGCTGGTGGGAACAAGTGACCGAAATAGTCACCTTCATGACTCTACAAGAGGGTCAGGGTGTTTGACATATGAGCTGCTCCGAGTAGGAAGAGTAGATGTTCCCACCAAACTTTATTCAACAAGAAGCCATTTTGGATCTTGTTCCCCGAATCTGTTTCCCATATTGTTAACTGTTGAATGGAATGGCACCAAACTATTTTAGGATTGACTTGCGTTCCAAGCCTTCAGTTTTATTCCTTTTCAAAAACCTTGTTTTAAAAGCGGCATGTTTTATCACAAATCTGAAATATTTCAGTAGGGATCACAAAGCTGAAATGATTCATTAGGGAGGACTCAGTACTGAATTGCCATTAAATCTCATTTTCTTTGTTTCATTGATGCTCTCAAGTTCCAAAACTTCAAAAAAGTTCCAAAACTGAAAAATAACTTTGCTTTCAATTTCAATATGGCTAACTCATCACAAGTAAAATAAAGTATCAACCGGTGCCAATATCCATGAAAATGGCCATGCAGGCTGCTTTCACGAAAGCACTGCATGGCAAGGGATTTTTGAGACGGTGAAGATGTTCATATAAAGTGTCTGTGGGGATCCAAAAAATGACTGCACTACCAATGACACGTCCCTCCTTTTTCCCAAAGGGGTATTCCAACTGTCAGTCTATGTTTTTAGCTGTCTGTCTGTCTGTCTGTCTGCCTGTGTGGTAAAGTGCATGCCTCATCTCATAGATGGTTTTACCTCTCTCTGTGGGCTTCCAGATGATGAGACTAGCTGCGACAAGAAGTATCTCTCTGCCTTCCCGATGGGCGGCATTCTGACCAGATTGTTGGCAGTGTCATCCTCTGCAAATGCCTTCAAGACAGCAGCAAGATATGAACTAGTAAGAGCTGCTTTGGGGTGCGACATGGCCTCGTGATTGAGGTTTTTAAAGCCAACATTCCACATATTAAAAATCACGGACAGCATGCAAGATGTCAAAGAAGCAGATAGTCACACAAAAGTGAGTGTTTGAAATCACATAAAAAAAATAATAAGGCCGTCAAAAACTGTATAAGTATTTTCACATGAAGCACCTTTTTTCAGTGGTTATGATGCCTCCTAAAGTCAAAACGGTATGCACTCGAATTTTGTTTGTGGTCTGCTAGCTTGTTGACAATTAGGGTGTTATTTTTAGCAATGAGGAGAAGCCATGTACATGTACATCTGTGCTACTGAACTTGAAGGCCTGAATAACTCAGAGGGGAAATGTCGATCAATACATTTACATGTGGAATGGATGGTTCCATTTGTCGAGCAATCCATTTACATACATGTATGGAATGGATGATTCCATTTTTGCAGTGCTGCTGTGCCATGCATTTGGACGAATACATGTAATTCAAGACACCTACCGACCAATCAGATGTCGGGAATTCATTCAATCATTGTATGGCACACAATGGCACAACTTACGAGCAAGTGAGAGAATACTGGAGCAAATGGATTGTTTCCTATTGGCTCGTTACGATGCATCTCCCAGAGATAGAAGAGCGCAACCAAGCGCTGCGCAGGGGATGGAAGAAGGTCTGGGTTCTGTAACAGCAGTACCTGGATTAATGAAGAATCAAAGACGCACGTGAGCGCAAGAGGGTGAAAGATCCTATCTCATCCCAACATAACTAGAGCTCCAATAACTGAGATATGCATTCATCTGGCTGAACCTCAGATATCCCAGAATCCAACAGGAAGAGTCAATCACATTTCTCATCCTGAATTTGAAAATAAGGCCAGAGAAGCCTACCACTGAATACACCTTTTTAAGGCCTGAAGTCTGAGATTTTAAACAGTTTAAATTAAACTGCCTCTGTGGCACGCAGTACATGTACATGCACATGTGCAAGAAATATTTTTAAGTACGAAGAAAAGTTAGCCTTCAAAGTCTCTTTAATTAACCCTAACCCTACATAATGCTACAAATTACTACTTGTAGTAAAATGTAGTAATCAGTGCAGCCGCTTCTAAGAGGACACGACCGCATTGTTCTCTGAAGCCATAAAATACAATAGAAAAGACAATGTACCATACAGTGCTGTGGCACTATGAATGAATGGCTTTATTATTCTCTGTACAAGTAACAATGGAAGTAACCTAGCCAGAAGTAGTAATTTGTAGCGCTAGGTCCTTCAGGTGCAGGCTATAGTATTTTGTAGTACTGAGTACTGTAATGCTTGGTGGTTAGGGTTAAAAAGGCACTAGTCACTATACATGTACATCTACACATAGTTAAAAAAGAATGACTGGTCAATATTTGGGGGATGAATCAAATCCATTTTCTGATTGGCCAATACCTGCTCACTCGATTCAAGACAGAAACTGGTGTGTGCGGAAGGGATGCCCTTCGGTTTTCTAGTAAGCTTTGAAATAAAGATTCTTGAACCTTGTTTCAAATCTTCAATGCAACCCTGGGTGAAGGGAATGTGATTTTGCTTGGAGAATTTAGTAAGTGATCGGTGTTCGGGGGGGGGGGGGTATAGTACACTTCATCCGTGGAGTTGATAATGAAAAGCATTGCTTGTTTGTCCTCCATTCCCATGATGCATTGTGATTGTGGGAAAACGGTTTATTGCAAAGAGTGTACATGCGCACTGCACTCAATCATAACAAAGGGGTTTTAGAGATTTTGGACATATGTGTATTCCTAGGAAAGACTATGAAATAGTTCAAATTTGACCTTAATTTGTCAAACGATCCACATGTGATCAGATCATGTGAATTCTACCTGTTTTGTGCAACTTGATACTCCTCTTAATTGTAACACAACGGTATACATCACCCATTTTTAGCTACTTTCATGGAAATGTGCACTTTGTAATACATTAAAAATTTTCCGCGGTTTTCCTGACAAATGAGGATGTTGTTTACTGTGATGTCAATCCAGAAAGACACTACCCATTCAGGGATTTCCCGTTCAGATTGTTACCCCATAATCTGCTCTTTGAAGACGTTTTCCTAAAGTGAATAAACGTTGCTCACTGGCCAGCTGTCATGAACTAAAATGACACCATTTATCAAAAACTGACCTAAATTAACTTTAGGAAAATATCCAAATTCTGGTCAATTTTAGTGCAGAAATATAGCATTTTTCTTGGATGACGTACACTTTTGTTTAATATCTAAACTACATTAGTGTAAAAATAAAAAAAAATCAAGATACCATTAAAATGGCGCATCAGAAATTGAAAACAAGTTACATGTAATTAGGGCATAAAAGATGTGATTTTTATCATGCTACGTAGAAAAGTACGTAGAAGAGCCACAAACATAGGGCTGGATAGCTCAGTTGGTTTAGTACTAATATTTGAGCAACCCGGTATTCAGTTTCCTCACACGACAGTCTGTTTGATGAAAGAGTTTAAGAAATTTAGACTTCCTTGACGCTTCGAGGTCAGCACCAACACGATGTGTACACTTACCAACGCCGAACCAACTTTGTAGTGGTCTTGTATCCTGAAGGCATGGTGAAAGTTTGTTGCTAGAATCTCAAAAGAGCTATTGCTGACCTGATCCTCCGAAAGCAAACTGTTCAAAACATCACAATGTCATATCAGTTATAAACTCATACGGTTACAATAGCGCAATCATCACATTCAACTGGATGTGTAGCCTAGGCCGTGGCAGATATCTAGGACTTCCATTAAATGGCGGGTAGCAACCACACCGTGCCGGTGAAAACAATTGTGACCTTGGCGATAAGCGCAAACCAGCCAGTCAGAGGATCCGACTATGGTACTCACACACGCACATGTAATAGTTGTTTTCATAATCATAGGCACGGTGTGGTTGCCACCAGCCATTTTATAAAAGTCCCAGATGTCCACCCCAGCCTACTGATGCAAAACAAACAATGAACAATAGTCCTAAACAGCAAAAATAGACATGATAGACCCGAGCTTGAACATTAACATAACCATGACAACTGACATGACTGAACAAAAACCATGAAAACAGTACAGTAGGGCCTACATTTAATTACTATGGCAAGAGTGTAGTGTCCTGGCACAACTTAGGAAAAGGTACATGCACCCTAGAACTCTCCAGCACGGCGGGCGACAAGACAAGAGGTTGGGTCATAACGACCATTATGACCATCAACGATCAATCGAAATGCAGTGTGTGAGCAGCGAGTCAGACCCGCACATGCACGAACACTTTGTTACGACTGCTAGAACGAACCCTAATTTTCCTAAAACCGGTAAACATCTTATCAATGACTATTGAGATGGTTCATTTTATTGAAAGACGAAAGGGAAATCAGATGCTGGGGCCCTGGCACAACACATTCAGGCAAATTCTTTCTTACTTCAGAAGACTAGCAAGCTCTTTCGCGGACAGCGCCATCTTGCAACAGCGCCCTCAATTGACACATGAATTAAAGATGGCAGCCTCCGTAAGAAATGTCGTCTGGAGCTTTCAACAAGTTCAGTTGGTAAATGTTTTCAGTATGGTGTTTTTTAGTATGAGTTAGAATGTCTTAAAAAGTCCGATAGCCCTACTTGGTCATCACCTGTGCATAAATTCTGCCTAGGCTAAACTCACAAACATTATTCCTCACTGGGTCTTGCCTAACCCCCTAACTTGATGTTCAGTTCAGATCTTGCCTGTTTGTTTTGTTTGTGTTGTTTTTGGTTAGGAAAGACACCACTTCTGCCACCCTTAGCACAAAACCTATGAGTCGGTTCAGAAAAAAAGTATTTTCTGAATAAATAACTTAGTATTTTCCCTCCTAAATTACATTGAACTTTTTTGGGCATGTTATTGCTTTCTGATGGCTGTTAGTGTTAAGTCACAGTAGGGAAGAATTACTGGCGTCCATATATGAAAAGTTCTCTTCCCTTTGGTTGCTTTGAAAAAGGCAGGGAAGAGTTGCAGGCCTCTATACATGTAAAGATGTATATGCAGACGCCATTCATTGTACTCTGTCATGCCTATAGTGACCTATTAGCTGTCAGAGAGCAAAGAAAAAATTAACAAAAAAGTTCAATTCGGGAGGGAAAATACCAAGTCGTTTACTGAGAAAACACCAGATTTTTCAAACAAGTCTAATAGGGTTTGTGTACAGGGTGTCAAGTGGCATCTGTATGTGGAATCCTTCCCAAAAGGCCAGCAATACGAAAAATTCCAAAGCAGAACTCCACACCCGTAGAGAATTTTCATGTATGTATCTTTGTCTGCTTGGTATTTATTGTAAATGACCCTGAGGTTAATTTAACTGAGGTGTTTGCTAAATCCATTTTATTATTATTGTTAAAATGAAAGTTGTTTGACCATGCACATCTAATGTTGATCACTTGCATTTAAATGTACCACAGGGCAGGTCATATCTGACGTGTCTGAGGCAATGGCCACGGTTGGCTAGTAGCAAAGTGTCCGGGACTGTCAAATCAACAACTAAAGGAAACACGAAAAAGGCAACAAAACAGGGTGAGGAATGGAGGTCTTTGACGTGATCACGTGATCTGCACAATTAGCTTTTTGCAAGTTACATTTGAATAGAAACTGGTACATGTACATGTACTCTGAGTTTTTTTAATTCAAGTGTACATAACAATTTGAATTCTCCATACTAAAGACACTGTTGCTATACCTCGTGAATTGGGGCAAACTGTTGCTTAGTTACACAAGAGACACCTTGCACCAATACACTGTTTTCAATGGATGAGAAGGGTACAAAGGAACCAGTCCATTCCAGAGATGGTGGTCGCTATCCGAAAGCTTGCCCCGAATCACGAGGTATAGCAGCAGTGTCTTTAGTTTGCGGAATTCAGTTGTTACATGTATGTTTATGAGTAATAAGCTAACACAGTGTACTGGATTTCATTCACATTAATTCACAAAAGGCTTATTGCCTGATTGCTCTGTGTGGTTAATCAGTTCTTCACCTTAACCTCCCCTTTTTGAAAAAATAATTCCACAACTATGAATTAGATAAAGGCAGGTGGCTGATGGCAGACTCGGTGATAAATTGTGCAGTAACATCGACCGATTGCACAGTAGTCAAGCAATCACACGTATCAAAAGATGGGACCCAACAAAGACACTTTGTTAGGAAGAACACAAAAGTGACAAAGATAAATGGAAAGAGTTCTTTCTACCAACATCACTTATTTTCCCTGTAGTTATTTGGAATCAAAAAGGGATTACATGCAGTGTTATGGCTACACCGTTCGGCACCGGTCGTGGATCTCCACCACAGTGTTCTACCAATCGGCACAATAAGCTTGATGAAACAGCCCACTGACCAGCACCAAAATCCATAAATATCCCAGAAAAACATGAGTCACTATGAAATTTCATCTTTTTACCTGGGAGAACTTTTAAAATTTGAACTCTTAATCAATTTGAAAAGTAAAATTCACGAAAGAAGCCATCTAGAGTCCCCTTAAGCGGGCCCCTGGACCCCCAGCCGTGACCCGCAAGACTCCGGTTGCCATTTCTAAAATATCCTGCACTAAAATATCAGTGGCTATTACACTGACTGCATGTGCTAAAAAGTCAAATCTATGAAAGCATTCAAACACATAGAAATGTCTACACCAGTCTCATGGGGTTGCTGTACGATGTTTAGAGGTGTTCCTGGTAGTTCCAACTTTAATAACAGTACCCAAGAAGAGAGTTGAAAGGACAGTGAAAATTACCTGACAATCATCAGGCGAGTCAGATTAATATGAACAACAATTACGAAGGTGTGTCTTGTTGATTACAGTTTGAAGCCTAGCCCAGTTTTATGGTTGTAGAATGAGCTTTTAGAGCTACGGCTAGGTCTATTTTCTGTATGTCTTCATGTATTTCCAGTGGAGTAAAGATGTAGACCTAGCTCTAGACAACCAATTTGGATGCAGTTTAAGTTAAGTCTCCAGACTTTTCACAAAATGTGGCTCCCCCCTCATGTTTTACAGTTCAGACGAGCTTTGGCTACATCCACATGTTTAACTGTAATATTTTCTCACAATTCAAGGCCAGAAGATGTTTGTTTCTTGCATCTGTTGCTATATGACATCAGCACTAGAATCAATTTCAGGGAATTTTGTCACCTTGTGAAGCTGAGAAACTACAACTTTGTTGATCCCCAGCAACCTCAGAGCCGGTCCCCGTCAAGCCCAAGGCCCCCTCCAACGAGGCTACCCCTTACACCTATGAAGTCCCACAGTATGATGACTGGTTCTTCTACAACGTAGAGAGCGACATGTCCAAGCATCGATTACCCCAACCCCAACCTGGGAAGCCATAGGTAGCCGAGAGCAGTGTAGATGACACGGTGTGAATAACTCCTCCTTCAAGTCAACCAGGAAATGCACACTCTTCAGTCCCTACCCCTAAGTTATGAATGTTGGAATGAAAGTTCAAATTTGAGACTGCATGCCAATCTTTGAAATTTTGAATAAGCATGTTATCCATTTTTAACAATTCTAAATGCACATCAAAGTTATAACCATAAATTGAAACCTACATGTACATGTATAATCAAACATGTAACATTATGAGCAGAAATGTTAGGCCAATGTTTTGTAATAATTAGTGGACAGAGAAGAAATGTTTGGATGGCCAAAGAATGAAATGTTATCATTAGTGGACTTGTTCTTGTAGGTCATGTTTACATCTTTCACATTTTCAGTAATTTGTGATGTGAAAAAACATCAGAATGCCTTTAATTCTAATTCCTGGAAACATTTGTCAGATTCTCTAACAAACCTGTTCATTGAAACTTGATTCCATAAACCACAACCCAAAATTGTTTTTGAACAAAAAAGGAGGTCTTTAGATACCTTTTTCCACAAAAAAAGTTATCCATGATTTATAGTCTTGTTTCAAGACCTAGCAATTGAATGTGTGAATTGAACCCACGGATGAAAACTAAAGCTGATAAAAACTAATTTACTATACTGTAGGATGAATATGCATAGCATAAGCGTTACTAGTCTTGGTTCCAGTTGTAAATAAAACCGTTTAAAACTGATCAATGCTTCTTGTGACCTTTTGTCATCGAAATGCTCTTCAGGGTGACTGAAATGAGACTCGGAGTAATATCAGAAGAACTATTGGCTTAGAGGGTTAAGACCTTAAAAGGAAACGAAATGGCAGAAAAGCACATTTTATAGACCATCCAGTAACATCACCTCAAACAGTCCTTCCTGCGAGGAGTAGGCGTGTTTTCGCTTATGTGCACAGCTGCTTTTCACGAAGACAACGTCTTGCGTTTCTGGGCTAGAGGTGTTATGTAATCCTGCGTCACGTGAATAATATTCAGAATATACTTTTCCCTCGTATTACGCATCGAACTAGCTCTGACCGGATGTGTCAAATAATTATGGTCCGTGATGATAAGTTCACAATATTTATAGTTTTCCGCAATTAGCCGGCCGGCTATTGGCTCATTCAAACAGCTGCATGCGTATACCGACTATAGAACTCCAACACACGGAGCGACGTGATAGATGGTGATGGACGAGCGGTCGCCAAGGGGCAACTTCTCTGATTTGATGCCCGATGTATGGCAAACGGGACCCCCTGTTGTGTCTTCTGTTGTATTGACGGAATCTTTGGAATTCTTTTCAGATTTCCAGGGGGTGCAGTAGGCACAATAGCTTTAGGGTATATGGCTTGTGCATCACATTGGGGGGGGTCCCCCTTTGCCACATGTATGGTGCTGGATATAACTTGATTCTCTCGCCTTGACCCTGTGCATGCACTTGAATCAACTTGGATATTCGGCTCGATGGGCTGGTCGGTGAGGCTCCTCAATCAATATATGGAACGAACTGGGGTCGCCCTGTACAAAATGTTCAGATAACTTTGCAGTATAAGCCAGAGTCCGGGCGCGCACGCCGGCCAAAGCCCCAACGATCGAGTTCAGTTTGCTCTACACAGTGACGAAAGTGAGTATGTACATATTGAGAGCACATTTTTATTGTAGATGTGTTCATAGAGGTTTGCGGAGCATCATGCAAACCTCCGCAACTCTTTCTGGAACATCTCAACAAGCTTCACAGCAGCATCCAGTTCACCACAGAACAAGAAAAGGATGACAACATCTCATTTCTTGACGTCAGGCTCCAGGAGGCAGGAGGGCAGTCTTACCCGCCAAGTCTCCAGCTGAGTCGGCAGCTGATTACAACAAAATCCAGCCACTCACCGTCATCTTTCCGTTACCACGCCTTCAAGAAACCCGCCGCCACCAAGTCAAGAAATTCCTCAAGATCACTAAACATATGTTACCGGGACCAGTTCAAGCATTGCGTCCACGGTCCCAGGCAATGGCAGGATCACCTATAGAGGGATTTTACATTAGCACCGTCTATGTGCGCATATCTGCATCGAAACCGCTCGAGGTTCTCTGTAGTACATATGTATGATCTTCCTCGCGCCCCCGCGGAGTCAACACAGTACATGCAGTATCCGGTTCGTATTTTTGACGCCACTTCAGTTTAAACCACGCCCACTAAACAGGCAGATACGCGACCATGGCAGGTACGTTAGTTTGCGGTAAATTGCCGTTATTTTCTTTTGATTTTAAGTGTCGAGTCATCCTGAGAGACTCTTCCACAAAAACATGCAGCCTGAAAAATCTGAATTTAACATAGGCTTACCTCTATGTATTTTGTGTCTTGACTCCTTACTTTCAATCGTCTGATCGTATAAAGAATTCAAGCTGACACATTACAGCCTCTTTTTCAAACTCTGGAGTGCGCAGACCGACGCTAAAAGCGTCGTCTTAGTATTGGGATCCCCCCTTTCCCCCACGCCTGTACCCCACATGACATACATCTCCTATATCCCGACCCTCCGAATCCTCCTGCCTGATATCCGGTGGAATGTTCTGTACCCTCCAGCCAACACCGCATCGATTAAGCCTCACCTTAATTCGCTCTCAAGAATCTTTCACCAAGAACACCATTATGGTCAACCTCAGCCAACGCCTGCCAGCTCTCTGCTGCGTCGGAGACAAAGGTTCTGTTGCTGGACATAAACTTTGCCTGAAGAGGTCATCCAGCGCACGGCCTGCAAATCAATCAATCCTCCAGAAATACAAGCCAGCCAAGTTAACCTCTCAAGACAAGATCGGTCAGCCATCGCATCACCACGGCAAGACAAGTCCATCCACATCCTCCAAGCGGACAAGAGCAACGCCACGGTGGCCATGGACAAGAGAGAGTTTGACCACAAGGAATACTCAACTTGATTAGGCTGCTACCCTGAAGTTTTGAAAGATCATCCATCGAGAGCAAGCTGCAATTGACACAGCTATGACAAGACACAAGATCCACCCCCGGCCAAAGGGTCACCTATACCATAAAGCATGGTTAGGACCGTTAGTTCTATCACCCTTCCGTACTTACGAGCAGTATACCTCCCATCACATCCAGTGCACCCCCCTCAGTCATGGTATTCGAGTGTGCCATATACAGCACCCATGAAGACAGAACCAGCCTGAACTCCCACAAGGACCTGCCAAATCCACAGCACAAACCAGCTAGGAGTGTACAAGATCCCCTGCCAAAAGATGCGGCGAAGTGCACATCGCTGAGCAGGGCCCAGACTCAATGAACACAGAGCCCATGACACGAAAGGAGAGTCGACAAGTCTGCTGCCACCAAGCACTCAGGCTCCTACACCAAAGATCACTAGATTGACTAAAGCCAATTCCAAACTCGTCACTGAACATTGATACCCTCACCGTATTCGAAAAGCCACCGAAATCCCCAAACATGAAATAGTATTACAGTAAGACATCGGTTTCCGCTCAGCAACATCTGGTATCCAATCCTCGCACCCCGGTCATAATTTTCTCTAAAAATAATTGGCCAACCCACCAAAAAATGAGAGGAAAATGAAGTACATGTTGAACATAATTTTTTTCTGTGCAGCCTGAACACCTGTAAGAGTTGTGAATATTCTTAAAAGAATTCTGAAGAGTGGGGATTTGATCTCTAGTATCGCAATTTATAATTACTGGAAAGTGCCTGTGGCGCTTACAGCGCACAATTGTAATTCTGCAAATTGCGCCCTCTGTCAATCAAAAATTTTTAAACGCAACAAGTGTCCTAATTTCAAGACCTTTGTGTTGTTTTCTTTTCCATCTTTCTTCCCCTCGTGGATAGAATGCTAGTTTTTTCCAACAACTCCTCGTTTATTATTAATTTTGAACAATTTAGTCAGTGCATTCAATTCCATTATGCGGAGGAACTTCGGAAGTTTTCACTGCTTACGTCTGCCAAGCAGTGACGTCTATGACGCAGACGAACCACTGGCAAATCAAAACCAAAGGGGGTGATCGACAACAGAGGGCGCTTTTATGCCGCGTGTCTTAGTTACTTGGCTATGGCTAGTAATAGCATCTAAACTATTGGGAATTAGCTTCAGCTTTTAGCCGGTAGTGGTGCTATCCACCGGCGTCTGTATCCGGCACATGTGTGATTGTACAAAATGGCGTCCAAGAGAAGAAGCGATTCACAGGTTCCTGCGGAGGAAAGTGACCGTCTCATCATCCGGCCACTGTAAGTATCCATTTTGTTGAGGGGAGTGAGCGATATGATAATTACAGGAACGGTCATGTTGCCTATGAAATGAAAGTTAAACCTGAATGTGCAAAATCTGAGTGTCAAAACATTGATTCTAAACTTGCTTGTGATTGACACTGATTGTTGATTGATCATGTCGCGTCCATGTTGATCGATCACGATCAGAGATCAGTGCTGATCAGAGGTCTAACACGTAACGTAATCTTGTAGGCCCTAATTAATTGTCCATGCTTGTCTATTTCAGTCTAATGTTAGTGAGTTGATTTATTTGGCACAAGTGCCGAATATCTGTACTCCCTGCCTTTCACCTAGCCCCACTACTACTAGTGTGGCACGGACTCTCACTCCCGATCCATCCTTAGCCACACATCCGTGTCTATTTTCTGAGCTAAATTTCACCTATTAAGATATGTTATTACTTTCTGACGGCTGTAATACATTTTAAAGGAAAATTAGTGTTGTCAGTATATGGAAGTCTTTCCAGGAAAACTAGCCCCAGCTATTGCGGGAGAGCGAGATCTCTTTAAAATGCACACTGTACAAGTAACTTCATAATGTACATGTACCAACCATGTTTCCAGCATAGCATGATCAACGCTAGGTAGACCCAGGGTTTTTGCTTAGAAATGACTGATTGAATTCTGCCCCTTGTGGAATGCACCCCCACATACATGTACATGTATAAATGTACAGAAAGTAAGCCTACATGTACAAATCCTGTTCCCTTGACCAGATCCCAGAATACCGGTATATGAGAAAACCAGCACTTCCGAGTATTGGTAACAGACTGAAAGAGATCTCAACATGTACATGTACATGTACCACCGGTACCCATGCTACTGTAGCATTACCAGGCAGTCATGTTTGCAACATACATACATGTATAATCAACCTAGTCCACCACAAGCGGTCAAATTTTTAATATCCTAGGACGACCTGCCAGCAGTAACTACATGTAGCCCAGCCAATTTTTGGACTTCATGTATTACATGTGCTTTGATGGGGACAGCCTTTTTTGTGCCCCTAAATTCACAGACAAATTTCACAACACCTGGCTTCTGTTTTACTGATGATCTTGTTTTATTGTTTCTTTCCCTCCAGAGGGGCGGGGCAAGAGGTGGGCCGGTCCTGCATCATGCTGGAATTTAAAGGCAAGAAAATCATGGTAAGAATGGAAGTTTCACATGTTTGAAGGTAAAACAAAGCTACACGGACGTCTGCTGCATGTTATACCACATCTAAAAACAGGATGCTTCAGGGGGTTTTTAGATAAAAGTTAAGACTCAAATCTTATAAAAATACCTATGAAAAATGCCCAAGTTCTAAGAAGTAGGTTACCTGTACATATTCATGTATAGAAGCAAGATGGAAAGACAGCAAGTTGGTAACTCAGTGAATGACCAGTGCACTACTCATAGCAGTTATGAATGGTTTGGCCATGGTAATTTGGGGTATTGACTTCCATTTATTAGCCAGTTCACTGTAAAGACGCCAATAAAATTGCCCACTAACATGTACTTGCTGTCATTTTTTCTAGATTTTGGGTGTTTAGTATGGGATGAGTCCATTAAACGATCCCCTTTCTGACCCATATAGAGTGCCATTTTTAATAAATTTTATTGAACGATCATCACTTATACTAGTTATGTAAGAATTTATGTGGGCGTTCTCCATTCCAATACTAAACAGCAGAACAGAACCGTGCCGGCATGAAATTGTGGACTTGCCCTTCTGAGTCTCAGGCCTTGTCCGAAACGGGCTTCCAGAGCTATGGCTAGGTCTATTGTCTAGGCATCTCCACGCATTTCCAATGGAGCAAAGACCTAGACCTAGCTCTAGACAAGAGATTCGGATGCAGCCTCAGACTGCTTTCATAGTGCATGTTTGTCTTGAAAAATGGAGGTCTTCCTTACATAATTATATTCATCAGGTTTTTTTTTGCCACCCGTATTAATAACGGAACATTCCACATGTCCATCTTGTCCTGTTGCAGTTGGACTGTGGCATTCACCCGGGCAGGGAGGGCTTGGATTCGTTACCCTTCTTCGACATGATTGAGCCCGAAGAGATTGACATGCTGCTGATAAGCCAGTGAGGATGCTTTCTTAGTTTTCAATTCTTGATTCCTCCAGCAACCCATGCAATCAGTAGTTCTTCAATTTCATCATTGTATGCCTGAATTATAGGTCCATATAATTTTATGTTAAAATTTCCTGTAAACTGTCACTAACCATGCGTCCAGCGTTTATCATCGTTTGCCAGATTCTAAAGCTGGTGTTACATGTACATGTCAATTGTTTTATAAGCCCATTTTCAGGAAGTGTTAATGTTACACTAAGCCTTTCATCAGCAAACTGCTATCTTGCCATTGGTGTTGTGCTGAATAAGCAATCGAGCATTGAATATACAATTGAGCAATGAATATGCAATTGAATTTTGAATATTCAAACATTCACAGATGAACAGCACAGGAAAAAAGTTTGAGAAATTATGTTGGGTAGCAAAGCTCCATTCGAAAGCTTTGTGTCGAGATACAAAAAGGAAACTAAACACAGCAGATTGATAGATTGAACAATAAGGCCAAAATTTTCTTAAGAATGGACTTCATTTTTATTACCCGACTCTAACATTTACATCGGCAACTAAGCAAAGACAAAATTTATATCAATCTCTCAGCTGTTCAGGAAAGACTTCTCAGCCAGTACTTTCATGTCAAAAGCACTAAACATGAAATGCTGTTTGAACTTGTTTGCCCATCTTTGATTGCTGTTGTCAGATGTTCATCGCTATTTCTCCATTAAGTCCCCATCCAAATTCAGCGCATTGGAGAATCTGTTATAACCAAAATGTGCTTGAATGAAATGTTAAATATTTGGAGAATGAGTTTAATATTCAACTTGACTCCACAATAGTTGCCATGCTGTGGAATGCTTTTCCTCATTTAAGCTTTCACTAATTTATTTATTCATTTGTTTTTGGCTTCCAGTTTCCATCTGGACCACTGCGGCGCTCTCCCGTTCTTCCTGAAGAAGACCAAATTCCAGGGTAGGATTTTCATGACACACGCCACCAAGGCCATCTATCGCTGGCTCCTCTCCGACTATGTGAAAGTCAGGTGAGGCAGGTTCTAAGCCGCGTCGTTAGTTAGTAAAATCGATATTTGTGAGAGCAATATAGAAGAAATAACCACATGAGGTGACAGATTGACTGTAACTTTGGGCGAGGCTAAAAATATAGCTACAGCATAAATGCAAGCTGAAAAATGATTGCAATTCCCAGCAGCAGGTCTTTTGTTCTGAGTACTGTCTTTTGTTACAAGGCCCAGTTCTTTTGTCCGATTTTGGGCACCCCGGCTATGCGTACAAATCCAAAGTACCCAAAACCGGGTTCCCCAGCAGCATATGGTTAACCACTTCGTGCCGGGGCATTTTTCAACGTTGATGATACTGGGCCGGCATGACTATCATTTTTTCCGTCTTCAAAATCCATCAACAATTCATCGTTCCATTTAACAGTTGTTTATAGCCGCACGGAGTAATCTTTAGGCACTACTCTAAGTTGACAGATGACCTTCGTTGACGCCCGAATATTTCGGCCAGGCCTGCAGGCTTGTAAACAGAGCCCAGATTGTGAAGTGTTATACAACTGTCTTTTGTTCAC